AGTATCCAAAATTATGGAATGCGCTGAGATGGATAAACTTACCAAGGAGATCCAAGGAAAAGAAGAATCTGAATATTATCTGGTCTGGCAAAAATGGCATAAATGGTTAGAGGGAAGTGAAAAAAGAAGAGAAGAAGAAAGAAAGAAAAATTGAATAAAAGAAAAGATATCAATAGAGTAAAATAAAGTTTTAAATCAAATGAAATTTAAGAAAGAGACACGAGATATCAATAAAATAATATCATTATATAAGGTGAGAGAAATATTGTATATTGAAGAATATAGGATATTGATATTGTAACAATTCAGATATTATAGGTAGATGTTATAAAGATGATGTTTGTTGTAAATTGTTTTACTTGCATTTATAAATGTATTATGTGGTTTCTTAAATTAATAAAAAAATTTTTAAAAAAACAAAAACCATTTCAATAGCTACTGGGAATACTCTGTTCCAAGTGGACAGAAATCTGGGAGGTTGAATTTAGGCTTGGTAGTGAAGAATGAAAACTAAGGAGGTCTTGTTAGTAAATGGATAGGAGAACACCAAGAAATATAAAGGCAGCAACCTATAGGATTTGAAAAAAAAACCCACACATTTCTTTGCTACCAGAAAGAAGGAAGTGAACGAAGCAGTAATTGAATATTGCTGCTTTAGCATTGTGTAGTGGCCAATGTATGTAATGCTGCTTTGGCACTCTATAGTGCCCAATGTAGCATTTTGAAAAGTTATGGTTCCCAATAGTACATATAAATCAGTTTCCAATGAATTCTAAGTTCTCTGTTTTAAATCCAAAAGGAAGCCTTGTTGCTAATCCTCATTAATATAAATAATTAGCTTTTGTGCTGGACATCAACTTTTTTGCTTTTTAATTTTATTCTGAATCAGATACAAGCTCTTACACTTTTTAGGAAACAGATATAATCAGATCTGAAGATGCACACCAGAATTATGCCAGTCAATATTTCAAGTAGATAACAAAAGCTGAAGTTTTACATTAAATTTTCTTTAAATTTCTTAAATTTCCTAGTTATCTCCAATTGTATCACCACTACTCTATTTAAATCGGATGCCCACAAATAAGTGTACGGGCATTTAAGAACTTTACTCCCAGGCACAAAGAACTGTTTTCTGTTGCATTGTATCAACATTGTACATATATTCAGGTTCGCCTGATACGCCAGTTGCGTCCCTTTCTGGATCGGGACTCCCTACGCATGGTCACTCAAGCACTCGTCACTTCCCGTCTGGACTACTGCAATGCTCTCTACATGGGGCTCCCCTTGGGGTGCACCCGGAGGCTGCAGTTGGTCCAGAACGCGGCCGCGCGGGGGATTATGGGAGCGACGGGGCGCTCACATATAACACCTCTCCTGCGTGAGCTGCACTGGCTTCCTGTGGTCTTCCAGGTGCGCTTCAAGGTGTTGGTGACCACCTTTAAAGAGCTCCATGGCTTAGGGCCGGGGTATTTGCGAGACAGCCTTCTGCCGCCGATAGCCTCCCACCGACCAGTTCGCTCACACAAAGAGGGCCTCCTCAGTGTGCCGTCGGCCAGGCAGTGCCGGCGGGCAACCCCCAGGGGAAGAGCCTTCTCTGTGGCAGCACCTGCCCTCTGGAATGACCTGTCCCCTGAGATACGCACAATATCAGACCTCCGGACTTTTCGTCGGGCCCTGAAGACACACTTGTTCCATCTAGCTGGGCTGGCTTGATCCCATCCTCTTAGTTTTTAATCGAAATTCGGTTTTAATTGGGTTGTTGTAAATTCGGGCCAAAATTATTTAATTGTTTTTTAAAATGTTTTTTAAATTTTATATACTATGTTTTATCCTGCCTGTACACCGCCCTGAGTCTCGCAGGAGAAAGGCGGTATAGAAATATAATAAAATAAATAAATAAATAAAACAAACAAACAAAAAATAAATAAATATTGTAGTTTCACGACCTGTGGTGTGAATAAGATCAATAGTATTAACTAGGCAGTAGGACAATCATGAATGTTCTATTGTTGAATGACTTAGTATCCATATATTTCAACTATTTCATGTAGCACAGAGTCCCTGAATTATATTACTTAAATCTTGGACTAATTTCACAATGCAATCCCATCTTTTTTTCCCCCAAGTGTAGTGGAAATACTTGGGATGAGGACATGCTACCAGAGGCCGACAGGTATCTCAAGAATCCCAGTTTCATTCCTTTCAAGTGACAATGAACATGCAGAGTTGAGATGAACTGTAATTGTATAAGGTCATCCAAAGCAACTCTAGAATAATCTTTCTTATATAAGGTGTTGTTCAGTGATCACCATGTCTGTATATTGATACTACAGCCCCTTGACATTACCCACATAAGAAAATTGGTCATGGATAAGTATTGTGTCCCCTGACCTCAAATTGATGTATGAACATATTACATGAGAGAAGAGCAGTGATTAAAAACTTAGGTCTAAAGAAGTTTATAAAACCCTAGATTAACTATCAAACAGCAATGATTTAGCAATGAAACAGAAGATGTATGATTTTTACCATTGTGTGACTTCAACATAAAATGATAAATTTAATAATCAGTTGGAACTGTTTTTCTTAAAGTCATTTTAATGATTAATGAAGAACATCAAAAAGGAAGGTAATGCTTTTAATAAATGGCAGGACAATCTAATAGACACAGAAACTATGATAAATGATCAATCACGTCTTATGCCCTGCTGTTCTTAAAGGGAAATTGGAGGTTTCTTTTTCTTTTTTATAAGACACATTTTACTTTCATTCATCCCAATGGGAAGGAAGGATTCTGTCAGCTCATGGGGCAATTTTTTAGCCTCTCCCATTTGAAAGTGTATATCAAGGAATGAGAAGACTTTGGAGGAGTATATAAGAGAATAGAGATTTGCAATAGGCTAATTTGCTCATTTACAAGAGGTAGAAGTCACTCTTACCAAATAGGTGATTAAACAAAATATCAAACTTTAGTCCTAAATCACATTGTTCATTCAAATGAAAATCATAAAAATCACAGCTGTCTTAAGAACCCAAGGAAGCTAAGATCCCATTTCTCCTTATCCTTTAAGATGGGGCATTTTGAAATGCAAAATACATTTAAAATTGGCCAATTCATGTAGTTTGCTAGATTTGAATTTTAGACTTCACTTTTTTTATTGTTTAAAGCAGCTGTTTGATATAGTTCTCATTTAAGTTCAGGATGCATGTATACCATTGGTTCACACATTCATGATTTCTAAGTGAATATAGTTGGTAGTTACCCTATTGTTACATGCTGCCGAGATAATAAACTCAGTTTCTTGGTTTAAAATCTACATCATCATTAAATTGGGTATCTAGGATTAGGAGTCCCTGAATGATCCAATAGACCTGCTTTGAAATGGGTGTATACACTGGGTGTATCAGCTTCCTCTTGTAGGAAACAAGAATCAGTCATGAGTCTCTTCTTATAGTGGTCAATTTAAAGATATAAAGATGCTGTTATACAAATATGCTGTATAACTTTTTAGAGAACTATGGAAAGAGTTTTGGGATTTAGTAAACATAGCTCTACAGCTAAAATGGCTGGTATTTCACCCTAATAATAATAATTGGGAGAAAAGTTATCAGCCTTAGCATAATTTCCATTTTGTGGGTTTAATTCTCCATTGAAGAGAACATAAAGGTGATCAGGCTTGCACTGTTCTGTCTAATTTACAGACTATAAACACAACACTAAGCATTTTCTTTGTTCTACAGATTACAAGGCACTGGTTACTTGATATCACTGCAGTAGGCTTGTTCCAGTCTATTGCTGCTTACTGTGAGCACAATGGGCACTGTAATAATAGAAGCCAAGTACTGCCATTTTAGAGTTATTAATCTAGTCAGCACAATATGATGTGTAATATAATCCCTCTTTTAGTTCCTTAAGTAGACTTTAGTTCCTTAAGAACACTTTAGAAAGATGTAAGAACAAGTTCAGACTTAATTGGCATCAACACAAGGATCAGATCTTAAAAATCTATGGTTAAACTTATTTGTGTGAAAGTGGAGGAAAAAGAGTTTTTGTACCTTTTGGTATTTGTATTTGGATGAATGAAGAAAATAAACAGAGTGAAGCAAAGGACCACGGACTCCAGTTTTCATATAAATATAATCTCTGTTACTAAACAGAGAATACAGATTAATCGGTGTTTTTAAACAGGTGAACAACCTGGATTAATCATTTTTCTTTGCAAAACTATGTTGCCAACTATTTTTACTTTTTTTATTTTTAGCATTATTCTTCAATAACAAGTTTATTTTACTGTAAGTTTATATTGTCTAAAGAAGCTTTCCAAAAGAATAGGGATATTTACCACATTCAAATAGGTTTGGCTTTACTTGGTTTTAGTGATATTTAAATAATGCATTCCTTTGGAAAAACTATTTAATTTCAATGCAAACATATTTGGGTCTTTGAAAAGTCCTAATTATATGATACTAAATATCACATTTCTTCCAAAATGGCTATGTTTGCATAACAAGTTTAGCTTGGTTATTGAATTAACCCAATTCCTAGGCTTGTTTAATATACTGGATCTTAATAATCAAGCTGGATTCACTTAACATTCCAAGCAAAAGGAACCAAGGAAAAAGAACAAAAAGAACTAAGGTTTAGCATATAGCACAAATGCAGCTGCTAGGCATTCAATTAACTTTTGATTTAGCTGGTTAAGGATGTCATGTGAATGAAACTTTATCAACCATACTGATTTAGCTTGTTGGGAAAGGCAGAGCCAATGTTAAGCTTTTCTTTTTTTGTGGCCTTCCCAAATATGGTGGAGAAATAGAAAAATGGAGGGAGGTCTTTGATGGCAATGAAGGCCAGTGACTCCCTATCTGCCTTCTGGCACTATCTCTTTGAAATATATGTACTACCTAATGGCTATGCAACCTTGTTCTCTGCTAACCCATCATTACTCCATCTGAAAGGCATCACATTCTCTTCCCAGCCATTGGACACATTTCCTTACCAGTTTCTGAGTCAATCCAGGTGGAGCCCATTCATATGTAACGGTGTCAAAAGTTGGATCTTTCCGAGATACTATAGGATTAGTGATAATCATGCGGTTCCTTTTATAGATGCGGATTCCATCGCCTCCTTTTACCCGAGCAGTGAGGGAAGAATATTTTGAATCAGCAAGCAAGCGGCCAATTTTCCGATCATCTTCTGCATCAGAGCTCAGGCTATGATCCTCCTGGCTGCATTTGCATGACTTGCATATTTTCCTGTGGGAGACAAATGAGGTCATATTTTGATATAAACTTGGGCCCTCATAGGTATGTGCTCTTTTGGTGGCTCAAGGGTGAACCTTAGAATAAACAGCCAAGGTTATAAATCAAAGTGGATTATGACATAGAACAAAAGATCTTTTTGGTCAAATGCTATCCAGAGAGAAAAATCTGTAACGAGGATTAACAGAATTTGCAGTGGTGTAGAACATAAGACTATAAAAAGCCACACTGTCAAAACCCTGGAGGAAAGCCTTCAATGACCGAAGCTCTGAGATTTAAATACTGGAAAACATTCAAATGATTAAACTTCAATATCTGTATTAATCATTCAGTGGCACACAGGCAATATGGAAATGCAGAATTTTGTAGCAGTCTAATTAAATAAACAAAATGGGGGAGTTTCTTGTTCTGTTTCCAATTATAAAAACAGATTGGTATAAATGGGCCCTTTTTTAGTCTTAATGCCTACACCAGAGTACGCCAGCTGGGGAATCCTGGGAGTTGAAGTCCAAACATCTTAAAATTGCTAAGCATAGGCCTACACAGAAGCCTATAGTTTCAGCTAACATTGATAAAGGCAAATGGGGCTTAAATGGAGCGTTCACATAGTAAACATTCCAGTATTAAAATGCTGTAATGAAACTACAGGCTTTTAGGAAAATATATATCCTAAACCGCAGTGGCGCAGTGGTTAGAGAGCAGTACTGCAAGCTATTTCTGCTGATCACCAGCTGTTGGGGGGTACTATGCTGACTCTGTAAACCGCTTAGAGAGGGCTGTAAAGCACTATGAAGTGGTATATAAGTCTAAGTACTATTGCTATAGTGCTATATATAAAATAATATTTGTTCCAACTGGATTTGCCAAACCTCAATCCAGAATGAGTGCTAGTATTACAAAAGAAGTGCAAGGACTTCTTTTTTTAGATTTCTTTTCTCCTGTGCACTTCCAAAGTACATCAAGTCGGGGTGATTACATTTCACTTATGAGGTAAAAATAGTATACAGAGATTTTTGGGAAAACACTGTTGAGGACCAAGAAATCATTTCAGTGTCATTTCACGAATTCCATTGTACAAATCAGTTCCTCATCCTAAATGGAAATGTGAAAAATAAAAAAGGGATAGAATTATATTCATAATAAAGCAGCAGGATATGTATTTTTGTTTTCTGCAGCTGCCATGGTAAGGCACTATTCCTAGTCCCTAAAACTGGCTGCAAAGGATTGCCCAAGTAATAAGGTAGGGCTATTTCCAGGATCTGTTTTGGCTTAGAAGAATACCTGGCAAAGATGCATTCACTCAAGTTGTCAGAGGTTAAATTTTTCAATTGTATGAGCAAGATTTCCAAATCCTAACAGGTTAATGGCAAACCCTAAATAAAGCCAAAGAAAAGGGCTTGATGCTGATTTATGTTCTAAAATAGGGAAGGTCACTCTGGGCCACAGCTAAAAATTTGGAGGCAAAACACAGTAATTCAGCACTGACTTTTTTCATTGAGAGAAATAAAGTATGTACACTGAGCTTCTGCTAGGTTCATCGCAGGTTATTTCATTAACCACCCACCCCCAAATTAAATTTTATCTTTGCATTTCACTGTCACACCCTCTGCAGTTCTCAGAAATCAGTTTTTATTTATTTTTTTTAATATAGCTAGCAGCTGCAAAAGGTTGCCTGTATCAAAGCTCAAACTTCAAAGAAAATGTCTGACAAATCTTGACCAGACTAGTCCTGGTAAGAAATAGATATATACTCAAACAATACAGAATATTGTGCAGTGTGGAAAATAATTTGTGATGCAACAAATGGGATGCCAGCTAGGAATGAGAAAAAGAAGCATTAATTAAAAAATAAACCTCATTTAAGTTGTATAAACCAAGCCCCAACTCTTTAATTTTTCATGTTTTTTACTTCCTTAATAATTAAATCTGCTGCTTTCAACCTGAATTTTTAATGTCAGAGATGGCTAATGCCTCATAAAGAAGCAATGTGATGTCTATGTGCCACAGTGGCGCAGTGGTTAGAGTGCAGCACTGCAGGCTACTTCTGTTGACTGCCGGCTGACTGTAATTTGGCAGTTCAAATCTCACCAGGCTCAAGGTTGACTCAGCCTTCCATCCTTCCGAGGTGGGTAAAATGAGGAACCAGATTGTTGGGGGCAATAGGCTGACTGTAAACCACTTACCAAGGGCTGTAAAGCACTGTGAAGTGGTATATAAGTCTAAGTGCTATTGCTATGCTTCTAAAAGAACCACGATTTCATTCATTAATACCTTATCTCAATTTCAGATTACATGAACAATTATTATCATCAAACATTTTATTAATTCTTTATGTAAATAAGGGAATGATGGAACTGTTAAGATATGGAATGATGCCACAGCTCTAAATAGTTCTGGATTTAGATCTATATCACAATACAGACCTAACTTGAGAACATTCATGTTAAATATTTTATAGCAAGTGGCAGGATCTGGCTGATTTCTGTTTGAACTTGGAAGCTAAATAGCCTGGCTGGGGGAATTCTTGAACCAAAATTTACACATATCTCATAGAAGATCTACACAAAAGTTGTTGAAATTGAGAAATACCTATCCAGAGAATTCCTAATTTGTTAATTTGGCTTATATACTGCTAAATCAGCATGTGCTCCCAAATGTTTACAACTATGAACAACTAGGGATCCTACCAATAACCCTACAGCAGAAATAAAAATGAGGATGAAACGCTTAACATAACAGCAGCAATGTTTCTCAAAGACCTAACAAAAAACTTTAGTCTTAACCATCTTCTGAAAATCAGCAATGATGGTGATGATCTAATTTTAGGGTCGAAGCTACTCCATAGGTGTGGGCCACCATAGAAATCATTGCCTCTGGGCACTATTCCACTAAACTTGCATAAACTATGGATTTGAAGTACATTACAGAGAGGACATGGGTTGATTTTATGTGAAAAAGATAGTCCTGGAATTAGACTAGTCTGAAATAATCTGGTTTCCCCCTCTAATTTTTGAGACCCAGAAGAAATAGCATCTTATTTTGTTTAGCCTGGTGTGCTGTTATGAACCCCACCACTGTTTCAAAGGAACTTGGACAATTACAGCATACTCAGTAAACTAGAATTCTAAAAAAACCCACATAGTTTAGCAGAATGCATTAACCCCAAAAATATCAGTGATAACAGTTTCCTGGTTGTGTTAGTGGTTGCTGTATTTCCTTAACTGCCGTGTACTTTTATTTGTTGTATTTTTGATTATAACTGTGTTAACTTTTACTTTAAATATTGTTCATTGCCCAGATGAGATGGGAAGCTAGATACATAAATTGAATGAATGAATGAATGAATGAATGAATGAATGAATATACTTTAGAATGGAAAGGCTATTTGTCCATTTTAGTTCTTGTTTTGTCTACTACGGCTCTCCAGGAAAGCTAGTTGTAGACTATAGACCATCCCCAAAAATAGTTAAGAAGCTATTAATTCAAAGAGCTATTCTATCTTGAGTCTGGGGCAAAGTTATTTGCAACTCTAATTATCAGATACAATTATCATATATACCAGTGGTGAAATCCAAATTTTTTCACTACTGGTTCTGTGGGCATGGCTCGGTGGGCGTGGTGTGGCTTGGTGGGCGTGGCAGAAGGATACTGAAAAATTTCCATTCCCACCCCACTCCAGGGGAAGGATACTGCAAAATCTCCATTCCCTCCCCACTCCGGGAGCCAACCAAAGGTGTTATTTGCCGGTTCTCCAAACAACTCAAAATTTCCACTATCGGTTCTCCAGAACCTGTCAGAACCTGCTGGATTTCACCCGATATATACCATAGTAATCATTGACTACCCAGAGTTACCCTGTAGTAAGATGGGTGGCCATAAATTAGACTGATAGACAGATAGACAGGCAGTTAAAATTCTTTTAGAAAGAAGGACTGACTCTAAATCTGGACGCTGAACGTTATGTTCTACTCTGAGCTATGATTATCTCAAAATAAAGTGTTTGAGAGGAAAATATTTTAAGCAGCAGCAAATTTACAGAAAACAGAGATCCACACAGTCTATGTTTTGTATTTTTTGCAAAATCATAAAGAAAAGTGCATAACGTTTTAGATTTTATACCTGGCAGTTCATTTGATTAACAGATGGCAATACCATTAAAAATTATTTTGGGTTCATTATAACCATAACATTGGTGCTGCTGAACATGTGTGGGAAGAATAATGTATTGGCCGTATAAGCTAGATGCAAATGGAATCAACATGTCCAATTATTCTAATCTAGATTTTAGTTTCCTTAGAAGCTTTACTGAAACCATATTTCAGTCTCGTCCACAGAATGGGAATGATTTTATATGAAATGAAGCTCATATTTTTTCAATGATGGGCTCAACATGGAAGAAATCCAAATTTTAGGGTGCTATTTTTTCATGATTTCTTATTGGTTACAACTGAAATCTGGAGGAATCTGTATCCAAATAACTCACACTGATAAACAATTATGATTCAAAGTGGATGAAAAGGTTTTCCCCCCAATAATTTTATTGAAGATTACATTAGACAGATAAAAGTTATTAAATTGCATGATACAGAAAAACTACAAAAAAAAAAAAGATTCACACTCAATTTGAATCCTTCCTTTAATACTTAATATTTATATTTCCATTTCTGTTTAAAGAGATTCCCCCCAATTTATTTTTTCCAAATAGTTAAAGTTCAGTCCCAATTTAAAAAAAAAAATCACTGGAAATACCAATTCATTATTTTAACCTTGATCAAATAAACCAATTCTGTAATCTTTCTTCTTCTTTCTTCAAATGATCTCTAAATTCATTTTTGAAATGTTTGAAATAAACCTGGAAGTTGAAATACAAGTTTTATCACACCACTCACATATAGAGAGAGTAAAAAGGAGCTGATAAGTCTTAAAAATGAGGCATGAAATCTGGGGCAAGCATTACCAGAAATCTTGAGGAATTATGGGGAGGGGGAAGAGCCTTTCATTTTCTTTTAGTCTGAGGCAGCAACATGTGCTCAGAACATAAGAATCAGTTAATAGAATGGAAAGTAGGAGGAAGCTGGCATTTAGCAAGAACAGCATGTTAACAAAGATCATGACGATAAAATGCAGAGGAAGGATTATTTGAGCAGTTCTTAGAAAGCTACAAAGATATCATTATTGTGGAAGAAATCCCATTGTAAGATTAAAATATAGGTAGGAATGGTGCTGTACTTTATGTGTATTATGGCTCACTATTCTTAAAATGTTTTTTCTATTGAAACCAAAGCAGATTGAAATCACAACATGCCCAACAGCATAACAGCATTCACATGAAGTAAGTGAATCAATATAACCAAAAGGTTCAAATATTTGTATTCAACCAAGCCACTAGCATATTTCTAAATTATTCCCGTGGGAGTGAAGGCTACATACAGGGAATGTGACATTTTTAAAGATGACATCACTGCTGAAAGCCTGGCATCCTTTGACAGAACTATCTGAGCTGCTACCCACTATTGGAAATGCCAGAAGTCAGAGATACGCAATTATATAAGATGGCTTTTTAACAAAGAACGTTAACAACTCAAATGCAGTGAATGAAAAATTAGCAGCATAATGCTACTGATCTGGAAAATTGACAAAGAGCACAATGCAGTTTTGTAGCCCTGCTACATTGATCTAGAGTTCAATTTTCTGAAGGAACAAAAAAAAACTATACTAGTTCCAGTCTGGTCTATAGTGTATTAAAGTTAATAAGTTTCTTTCCATTATCTGAACGGTGAAAGTAAAAGAAGATTTCAAGGCAAATTTGCATCTTGAATAGGGGCTGCTTTATTCTGTTTCAGCGACTGAGAATAAAGACAGACGGTGGATTATTGCCAGTTATACAAGGAAGTTTAAACATATACTGTCTACACTGCTTCTAATAGGATTTTTAAAAAGCTAGCGATTCCACTAAGCACTTATTGGTAATATGCATCTAGTATATTGTTTTAGTTTTGACTTAATGGAAGTGAAATCCACTAGATTTGAATGTGGGCAAGTATGATCTGAACTACAGACATGGTGAATTCAAGCATCCAATTCAAAATTTTAGAAAAGTAATGAATTAACCAGCCAAACTTTGACACCACTATTTTTACATTGTAACTCCTTCTACATACAAAAACATTGAGATGGGAATTACTAAAGCAAATTTGATAGAAAAGGCAAAGGCAAATCAACAACACTCCCTTTCTCTGATGGATTAGACTAGTATACCTTCTCACCTATAATCAGGAGTCACCTTTTCTAACTTTTAAATATTATCATAAAACATGCAGCTCACTTTATCAGATGCACAACCTTCGACAGTTTCTACCCTAAAGAACAATTGATATTGATTGATTGATTGATTGATTGGTTCGATTTATATGCCGCCCTTCTCCAGAGACTCAGGGTGGCTTACAATGCGATAAGCAATAGCCTTCATACTTTTGTATATACCTGCTTAGTAGGGCTTTCGCCCCCCCCCGCCCCCGTTCATTTAGCAATAGGACTTAGACTTATATAACACTTCACAGCCCACTCTAAGTGGTTTACAGAGTCAGCATATTGCCCCCAACAATCTGGCTCCTCATTTTACTGACCTCAGAAGGATGGAAACTGAGTCAACCTTGAGCCGGTCAAAATCAAACTTCTGGCAGGGAGCAGAGTTAGCCTGCAATACTGCATTCTAACTTCTGTGCCACCACAGCTCTTAGTAATTGCCCTGAATACAAACTGAATGAGAGCAGAAAATAAGAACAAAAGGAATAGTAAAACGTTTACCTCCAAGAATGTGGTTCAAAACCAGCACACTTTTCTCTGCATTTCAAACAAGGCACACCTCTTCCTGATGGTTGATGGGTAATTGAGACCTAAAGAGAAGAATATTTTTTAAAAATCTATTTTTATTCACTTATACTAGACTTAATTAGTACACATTACGACTAGGATACACAATATTAAAAACATAACGAGGAAAAGCAGCTGTAACTGATCCAGCGAAGAACAAGTTTAACTCAACATAGTTAATCAGAGGTATACAAACTGTTGCTACACGCCCCTTAGTCTTATTTCAAAATACTCTGTAAATGATGAATTCAAGTCTCTTGTAAAAACTATATTCTCCATCCATGAAACCTGCTGGGTACATCTGGACAACAAATTTTGCTGCTCTGGCTGCTTAATGTCAACTTGAACACCACTTTATCCTTGCAGTTTTCGATTCCTTAACCATGATGTCTATGGTTGTGTGAACCCAAGGGGATATCATAGTTGGTGAACATGAACCATGATCTGATTTCCATCACCTTTTCTAAATAGAACTTTCACTGTAAGATACTCAAGGAAAGTATCGTTCAAGGAAACTTTCCAATTCTTCAGGAAGAAAAAGATATATATCTTTTTGGCTTAAACAAGAGTAAACGATAGGGAGGGAATTCATTCAGATACTAATACAACATCCCTTACCCTGAACTTTTTTTAAAACCATTCCGTGCTTTAACTATAAAGGTATAGGATGACTCTTGCACCTGGAACTTGTTGATTTTGGGTTTCAGATACATAGTATAAACCCAGCAACCCTAAAATATTCCTACTCTTTACCCAAAGCAACTGTTTAGTTTTTGCTACATTTTAATAAATCCTCCTATGTGCTCTGTATATGGCCCATTAAGAAAGACATTTTCTGAAATATAATTTGAATGGAACAATTGTTCTGTAGCTGTTGTTTTTTAAACTACTAATCAGATTTTCTTGCAATTCATGGAAAATACCCAGTGATCTACCCAGAATCTAAATACCCAGAATCTAAATCTACCTAATGCTCACCCTATCCCTTGATTATTCCCATAAGTTGTATCCGGAAATAGCAAAAACATGGGATATGCTCTAGCTTCCAGTAGTATCCCATACATTTTATAAAATTGCATCTAGAAAAAAGCAGACAGCTCAAAAATCTAAATGTTAAATGTCCTATCAATGGTTATGGAATATTTTCATTTTTAATGTTTGAAACACATGAATGAAAATCCAAAAACCACACCATGGTTTATATTAATTTGAGTTATAAAAGTAGCAGTGTCTAGCCTTGGAAACCACACATAACAGATCCACAATATAACAAGTGCAAAGTTAGAAATTTAATAAATGTCAAGTGTTCACATCCATACCCTGATTTCCCAATCGTTTAAGATGTCCTAAAAGTTAGTTTTATAACACTGTTCTGGTTTTTCTTGATGGGACGATAGGTGATTTGTCCTATAAATAAACCTATAAAAGCAGTTTGTGTTGAAATTAATTTTAATGTGTTGAAGAACAGAGGCTGCTTTGAGTTTATTTGGAGCAAGTGTTTTGACCATTGTCTCTAAATTGGAAGGCATTCTTGCCTTTGATCATTTTCTGCAGATTAAATGTGACAGTGGAGTCAAAGAAAGGAAAAAAATGTACTGGAAGAGCCAAAAGTTAAGCTGTACCAAAAGGAAACATTGTAGAGAAAAGGATAGCATGGAATGATCCCATAATCATCAGCCTTGTCATTCCCCAGCCCAAGGAATTTTTGTAGAGGCCAAAAATCTAAAGATCAAATCTTCAGATCTGGCAAGTAACTCTGCTTGTTCAAGATCCTAACCAGAAAGGTGCCAGTTTGGTTTTTCTTTCTTTCTTTCCTTTCTTTATTTTTTGCTGTATCTATTTTTTTAAAAGAAAACTAGCAAAATAAATATTATGCATTTATGTTTCTGTAGAGATTGCCAATATACATACCAGTCAGCATACACACCAAATATTCAACTCCCATTCGGGTATTACTAGCTCATTGTGGTGGAGACTCAGCCAATATCCACAATCCCAAGGGAGATTGTTTTCTGTATGGCTTTTGAATCTTAATTATGTATGGTTCTAAATAACTTGCCATAAGATCACATTCTTCAGACCTTTCACTTTGTGCTCAGAAGATGCAGCCCAGGATTTACAATTACTGGTAAATGGTTTTGCGTGTAGAGCTAAGCCAAGACTTATTTAACAACAGTTTGTCAAATAAGTCACAGGGAGCCTGGTTCATCCATTGTGGCTTAGCATAACATGGTTTATGTGCTTTTGATGAAGCACAAAAAGAGCAAAAGCAACCATCTAGTTGCAGATGCAAGTTGGCATTGTTCAAGACAATACTCTGATAACATTAGGAGGACAGGCCTTAAAAATCTGTAGAACAATTCAACTATCTTGGTAGAAGCATCATGAATACAGATGGGGGAACAGAAGCAGATGTGAAATGCTGAACAGGCAAAGCAACTGCTGTCTTCCAACCTAAAAACATTAATCTTAAATGGAAGGATGCAGACATTGTAGCTGCGGACTGACAACTGTAGAGTATGCTTGTAGTCCAATGTGCTTAGCATAGGATGTAATTAAAAAAAAATATAGCTTGATGACATTCGGGCAGAAGAACGAAACTGAATGGAATTCTCATTACTGTATGAATGTTAGCTGAATGCTCTGTTATTTTTAATTTTCCATCATTACACAAAAATGAAGTGTCCACAGGAATGTTAATATACACAAAGTTCAGTGTAAGTGTCAATCTAGTAATCATCTTGTTCCTTTCTAAGGATTTGGTCAGTAAATTCCTCCTCATTTTAAAGTAGACATTTCCTGATCACAAGAGCTTATTAAGTTGTGGAGGAGTTTCCTGGAGACATGGGTGCATATCACTGGAGGTTTTCACACAAAGTGAGGACAACTATTTGTCTGGCGTAGGATGAAAATACCTGGCCTGGACAGGAAGTTGGACTAGAAGACTTCTAAGGTCCCTTCCAAACTTTCTTTTTTAATTTGATTTATATGCCACCCTTCTCTGGAGACTCAAGGCGGCTTACAATGCGTTAAGCAATAGCCTTCATACTTTTGTATATTTATACAAAGTCAGCTTACTGCCCCCACAAACTGGGGCCTCAATTTACCTACCTTAGAAAGGATGGAAGGCTGAGTCAACCTTGAGCCTGGCAAGATTCGAACTTACAGTAATTGCAGACAGCTGGTGTTAATCACAATGCTATCAGTCTGCTGAGCCACCAGGCCCATTTTATGATTATGATTCTTTCTTCTGCTTCCAATGAAGAATCCTAAACATTTGTAACATATTTGATAAAAATTGGGTAAACTAAAGATCAAACCTATTTTGCTTTCAGATTATGGTTATGATTATGGTTCTTTCTTCATTATGGTTCATTCTACTGATATATTCTTTTTAATATTGTAGCTGTACATGGACCTTCTGAAACATGTGTACAATGTAGGTAAAGTAGACACTACTTTTCAGAAAATATTCCTTTGCTATAACTTTTGAGAGCAGAGACATCACCCTGTTGACAAAGGTCTATATAGTCAAATCTATGGTTTTCCCAGTAGTAATGCATAGCTATGAAAGTTGGACCATAAGGAAGACTGAGCACCAAAGAATTCATGCTTGAGAATTGTGAGAGTCCCTTGGATTGAAAGAAGATCATATTAGTCAATCCTAAAGGAACTCAACCCCAACTGATCTCTGTAAGGAGAGATATTGAAGCTGAAGCTCAAATATTTTGGCCATCAAATGAGAAGAAAGGACTCATTATAAAACACCCTGATATTTGGAAAGATTGAAGGCAAAAGGAAAAGTGGATGGATGAGATGGTTTGATAGTGTCATCAACACAGTATGTTTGGGTTTGGGCAGGCTCTGAGAGATAGTGGAAGACAGGGGGGCCCTGGCATGCTGTGATCCATGGGGTCGTGAAGAATCAGACATGTCTTGACAACTGAAGAACAAAATATCTTTTGACATAGTGTGTAGGACTCACTATAATAGACAAAATCATGTTCTTCCTTAGTATCTTGAATATGAATTTCAGAAAATATTTTTCCACAGATGATAAATATTATCTTAATTGAATGCTTGCACACCAAATACAGCAGAGAGGATGGTTTAAAGAATTGGCAGAGATTGCAAAACCTGGATTTAAAACCAACCCCTGCTGTCAATGCTATCTGCCAAATATTCTCTTTGAAAAACAAGGCCTTGTCTACATTTAGAGTGTTTTATAAAAACCTGCTGTGCAGATATACAGATCTTTAAATTGTGTTCTGAAGTCTCATAATTGTTGTTGGCAAACTTTAAGGAAATGAGGGAGTAACTGAAAAGATAAATTTGACCCATGGAAAACACAATTCAGAAGACAAATAAAGAAGAAATGGAGATTCTTATCCTTTGAGTTTTGCCAGTTCTGCCAACGTAAAAGTACCCATTGAAGTCTAACTGAATGAAATATCAAGTTCAGTTTTACACACAAACTAAAAATGAAAAATCCTGCAGATATCTGGTATCTGTAGGATGAGAGGAAGACAAACAAATTGGAACATGTATTTTCCTTATTTTACAAATCAATATTTCATGTGCTATTTCTGACAATATAGTAGAGACCAGATACACAAATATAGGCCAAGCTAAAACTACAGGCTATGTTGAATGTTCACATTAAAACCTAGGAAAGAACTTAAAAGGATAGCTCAGTGGTACACATCAATGGCATTGGATGACTCTCACCCTAGTCATCACTTCTTTACCCTTCTACCATCGGGAAGGAGATATAGAAGTATAGCCAGCCGTATAAACAGGCTGAAGAAGAGTTTTTATCTGTGGGCTGTCAGACTCCTGAATGAGAAATAACATCAAAACTATGTAGTATGATGGACTGCAGGGCCGGCGCAATGTGTAACATGTTCACACTGGTGCAATAGGACTGGGTGTTTTGTTAATATGATTTATTGGGTTAGGGATTTTCTGTCTTCACTGTGAGTTGTATTGTGTTTGGGGGGTGAGTGCACTGAGGGAGCTCAAC